ACTGGCCATTGTACGTAAGCTACATAAATGTAACCCAACCGAATGCAGTGTTGTGGAGGGCCTATGTATTGACTGGCGATTGTACGTAAACTACATAGATGTATCCCAATCGAAGGCACTTTTGTGGAGGGCCAATGTATTCACTGGCGATTGTACGAAACTGCATATATGTAACCCAAACGGAGGCAGTGTTGTGGAGGGCCTATGTATTCATTGGCTATTGTACGTAAACTATATCAATTTAACCCAATCGAAGAGAGTGTTGTGGAGGGCCTATGTATTCACTGACGATTGTACGTAAACTACGTAAATGTAACCCAATCGAAGGCAGTGTAGTAGAGGGCGTATGTATTTACTGGCGAATGTACCTAAACTACATATATGTCACCCGATCGAAGGCAGTGTCGTGTAGAGCCCGTGTATGTACAGATCGGGTGCAAGTGATTAGCAGCAGTCACGTTGCTCAACGGTGGGTGGTTTCGGGATAGTAGGAGCTATCTTTGATATTCTGATCGTCCCATGGCGCGTTGTTGGGGTTGGACAAGGCATAGGCCAAGGCAAAGGCAAAGGACCGCCGGAACGAGTGGTATTTGGAGGATTGGGTGATACCATAATGAACAGTGGGATATAAATACAGGTGTATAGTATAGCCTACTGTAATATACGCAGAGGCTATGGGTAGGGACACACCTGTGTAGATGAGGTGTGGTGTTCATAAGTTCTTCTGGGTATTTAATTTTTTAGTCAGCTAGGTATATTGCAATCGGACCCCAGTATTACATATTAGGATGTAGAGTGCAACGGCACAGTCGTGTGGTTGGTCAACTGCCCGGGCATGCATAGCCTCCGTTGCTATGACAATAGTGCGTTGCGTTTTGTAGCTACATAGCCTTCACTTTGACAACGTCTACAATCCATTCATATTCATAATTGGCCCTATTCAAAATCCACTTTTCGATAAATACATTTGGTTCTGAGTCCAGTAAGTACATACATACCGGTGGCAGTCTGTACGCCCACCCGATCTGTGAGTAATCTACCTGTGAACTGATCCTTAAGGGTAGCTGTTGGTACACAATCTACTGCGTTGAACTCTGCGCAGAGATAAGCTGAGTCAGGGCTTAAATATATTGGACCACAACAGTCAGAGCCTATTGGGCTTTGTTTGTTGGTGTAAGTGTGTACGGTTGATGACTACTCACCTGCATCGCACGCTCGACTGAATACTCAGTTACCTACAGCGAACACAGTTTATTTATATAAATATAAACATATATAATATTAAATAAATATACAAATATATATGTATCTACATATGTAACCCATGTAGTCGTCCTTTAGACTAGGACTTGAGGAATAGTCCCTGATTCTGAATATGCAGCAGATGGTTATTTTGTATCCTTCGATGGCAACCAAACGAATCAAACTCGAACTTATTCCCCAGAATACAATTGTGGACACAACATCAGTCTGATGGACTAGAGCTATGGCTACGATATAAAGCGCGTGCTGTAAGCCTTGTTCACTAGAGAGAGATATCATTCTCTGCATACTTTTGTCTTTCACCCCGTCCAACCATACAATACCAATATTACAATTTTTTATTGTCATTGGTTTCATCATTCCATTCAAACCTGAAAATCCCGGAACGACAGCTATTTTCACTTACACAGTCCTCTGACAGCAGTCACAGTAACGGTGCATACTCACATGGGCTTTACATATATATATATATATAAAGATTCCCACTTACTAAGTTTTTAGGGTTTTAGGTTTCCTTGTCTTCCCTTTGTCTGGCGCACAGAATGGGGCGAATGCATACGCCCGCGTCGCATCTTATTATATATATGTACAAACTCCACCGACGGCATCCGAGCTACCTACCACACCCCACTCATCTCATCACGTAGGTGTTCTCACCCGACTTCTGGATCTCCCCCTCGTGCGTGTATTCGAGCTTGAAATCAAGATCACGATGGTTGGACTCGTTGGGCTTGCACGTGACCATTCCCTCGACCGTCTCGTTGTTGTTGAGCGTCATCTCACCGTCGAAGTAGAACACAGTTTGCTTCCAGTGAGTGTACCGGTGGTGAGGGCCTGTGAAGTGATAGATTCAATTGGTACGTTAGTAACACGTGGGTCAAGGCGATAAAGAGGTGACGAGGAACGCCGCATGAGCTTTTACCATTGTAGTCATCAGATTGTCAAGGTCAGAGTCATTCAATAGACGGTCCTCGATGTATATAAAAACGTCGTAGTGAGAACCAGATAAACTCGTCTTAGGCTAGTACGTTCTGGTATGCAAGACCTCGAGGACCGTCTATTTTATAATCTCTGAACTACTACCTACAGGTTGTTTATATATATATATATGTATATAAGGCTTTTCCATAAAATAACTTACTCACATCCCGGCTTATAACCAATTCGTAGTCTGAACTTGGCCTGAAACAATCGTTGACAAGGCACACAACCAACAGTTGCATACAATATGAAACTGCATCTGCAGTACGAACTAGGTTAGCACTTGCAGATCAGACACAGTTTATCTCGAGTTTACAACATGAAATTTAGCCATCCAGTTAACCCCCTTTTCATCCAAGGTTCATGCAACCGAGAGAAACTACAAGTAAGCGTATCATCAAGGAAACCGCCAAGTGATGTCGCAACATGACAAAAACAAAGCACACGCTAACGGATGAGTTTTCAATTCACTGGTAACACCAGTAATGGGTTTATATATATATATGTACTATTGCGAACATGTAATATAAGCGGACAGTGAGCATTGGTATTAAACAGCAACCACTTACCAGTTCCGAAGTAGATGGGCTTGTGGCACTTGGAGAACTCAATGTCGAACCACATCACAAACGCGTGGGCGTAGTCCGTCTGCGTTGCGGTTAGCTTGAAGGGTACCTGGAAGGCCAGGTCCTCCTTCTTCACGGTCGAGATATCAATGGTGATCAGCGGACAGTGGTTGGTGACAATGCTGGCGGCGTCTACAGTGTCTACCAAAGGCTCGGCCATGGCCATCTCACTGACAATGGACATGTCAAACCCGTAAACGTTTTTCCACCAGTCGATCTTCTGACTCTTGTAGTCACTGTCCTCAATCATGCACATGTACAGCGTCGACTTGTCCGGGAACACCAGACCCCCCTCCACCAGCCACTGATCCCGTGCGTAGATGACCGTATCCAGCATAGACTCGTACAGAAGCGCGTAGCCCATCCACTCACTGATGATAATATCCACCTTCTCCACGGGGAGGGTCACCTCCTCAACCTTCCCCTGTATGAGAGTTACCTTGTCCTCTAGTCCGTTGTTGGCGACGATCTTGCGCGCTACGTCAACGATACCCGAGCACTCGATGCCGTACACGTGCTTGGCACCGGCACGGGCCGCAAACATAGACAGGATGCCGGTTCCACAGCCAACATCCAGGACGATCTTGTCTTTGAACAGATGGGGGTTACGCTCAATAGCCCAACGGTAACTGTTAGTGCGCACCTGTAAATGCGAGGTGAGGGATGAGGTATTAGAACCACACTCAAATGATGTAGCGATGGGTGCGATGGTATACTCGGTTGTGTGTTGGACGAGTAATGATGTATTGGAAACAACACTCAAGTATAACTCTGTGTGTGAGTCGCTGGTAGCTTTGAATCTGACCACCAGTGGTTAAACAACGCCTCATGCTGTATGATCAGCTGAGGCTCTTGTCTGCGGTATATATCTTTGGCGAAGTCTCCTTAAACTTCATGTGCGAGGTTCAAGTCAGACACATATCATGCACATCCTAGGACCTAGAGGATCCAACAACAGCTAGCTTATAAACGCTCACCAGCGCTCTGCCTGCGAATGGTACGGATGTACTTTCTGACTACCACAACGATACATTAGATGACCAATGCAATTACATAGAACATAACCCGAGACCGCGGATGACCCATAGACTGGACACTATTGACCAAGAATTTTTACTAGTATGCTTGTTTTTGTGGAGATGTGCATTTGCTCATTCAATACGAGTGGTAAGAGAGGCCCCGAAATTCTAACAGATATCGCTGAAGAGTACAATCAAACACCACACCCTTGTAAAAGGGTTTCGAGCATAGTGCCCAAACAACCGCGAACTAGTCGAGCAACACAGTGTCAACTATGTTGGTACGGGTAGGTAGAAGGAGGGATACATAACGAGATACAAATCCTAAAAACGCATATACCATAGCGCATGGTATATAGAAGCAGAATTTCAAGACATACGGGTATATACGTTGCACCCTTCACATAGCAACGTTGAATCACATGCAGGGCACAAGAGGATGTGGTTAACGAGTATATAATTCCACACAACAAAACACATGGGGCTGATCCCGATGAGACATGTATGTACTACAGTCAATGCCAATTCATAATTCATCCAGCTATGTGACGCCAAAAATCACAGTCTGTCAGACATAGTTATAATATACTTCTGTGAACGCAGCTAGGCAAGACAACATCACGCTACACTCCGTCAACACGACCTTCAAATAGAAATGCAAGGTATTCCCTAACAATACTCACACAGTTCAGCCTTCCACGCGTGCGCGGTTGCGGCACAGCTCGTAACTTAGCACCCGTACATTAAATTACAACTATACACTGGCGAAACAGCCGCACTCTGAAGTATATCTTCAACATCCAAAGATTTAATCTTTACGACGTGCGGCGCTTAGCTGTATATGGTCACTCACGGTTGCCGCCCGATTAGAAAACTTCCCAGCGAACAACATAACACTGAACAACATACACCTCGTGAGTATGCCCCATACGGATGCGAATAGTACATGCCGCGACAAACACGCAAGTCTAGAGAGACACCTTTATCTCGAGCCAAAGCGTACCAAAATACACAGCAGCAATCACAGCACTTGTGCTAAATACATACACAACAACGTGGGAGACAGAACGGAACGCAATCGAACGCCACTGATCGATGCACCAACCAATAAAACCCTACCTCATCCTTAAGCATCTCCTCGTGGATACCAAAGTGTGCGTACGAATCGAAGTAGTAATCTGCCGATGTCAAGTTACCGTCTTTGTCGACAGTTCCTTTGGTGCCGTTACGGGCCACCATACGGTCAACGTTCATATCATCACCGCCGTCCATTGTTAGAGTATGTATATGTAATTGATATATGAGATATATAAAAGTGTATGTGATATGAGAAAGCTGATGACTTAGTTTGTGATATATATTCTGTTTTTTAAGACTCTTTAATGTATGTAAATACAAACGCACGAAGGGATTCTCAATGAAGCGAGATAACACACAAGGATAGTAATACTTCTTTATCATGTGTGTACAGAAATACAGACGCTCTCGCTAGAGTAGAGTAGAGACGAGAATACCCCAAAGACCACAACTATGACAGCAATAATAAATATTTTAGGGTTTGAATTGTAAAGTTTTATGTTTCAACACGTGCACTCACACAAGGATTTCGTGTTCTGATTGGATGGTTGCCACTGAAAATCTTTTTTTTTTGCTGAAATTGATGACAGGGTTTTAGCTTTTTAAAAAGAAAAAAATTAGAAAGCCAAAGACAGCAGGAAAAACGAATGTTTATATATCACTATGAAATTATGGTTTATAAATACTATATTGGTGCCAAAAACCGAAGTTTTCTTTGAGATACGAAATCCCGGTTTATCTTTTGTTAGTCCCGATTTGTTCTCGAAACTAACATCTGTGGCATTTCCCCCCCTCGCGTCTCGAGTGTCGACTGTCAGAGTTCAGACTCTCTGTGCGAGTGATGTCGAGAACTGTGCTATTTACATAGTAGCCTATGACATCTAAGTGAGCTGATTCTGCTTTATGTAAATATGCATATTCTAAATACGCGCGTATGTGCACACGTATGTAAATGTACGTAGTATCACGCTTTATAGTCATCTATGCGACCTAAAGCCTTAAGGTGTCATACCCCAGAGAAGACTCTATAGATCAGTCCTGTTGAGCAATGTCACGTAATTGTAATTAATCCCAGCACAGAGAAGCTTTCCAACATGTCAAACAATCAGTTACCAGCGCCGTTTATGGCACAAAATGCCTATGGGCACGGTGCGTCTCCTATGAATCCCCAAGTATCGCAAGCACAGCAACAACAGTATAACGTCGCAAATATGATGAATGAAGGTCAAATGCTAGGCCAAACACAAGGGTACATGCAACCACCACAACAGATGCAAACACAGTCACAAGTGGGTATGCAACAACAACAACAAGGTGCTATACAACCACAACAATATATGCAACAGATGCAACAGCCACAATTTAGGCCACAGTCACAACAGAATCAATACAATCAACCACAGATGCCGTATCAGACGTCGAACGGAAACACGGCATACAAGTATGTGATTGCATAGTAGATTCTGGACTGTTTTTTGTGTATTGTGCGCCCATTTATCCACACGCATATATATATATATATATATATGCGTATACGTGTGTTTATAATATATATATTTATATATATATATATATATATGTATATGTATGCATGTATATTTATGTATACGTATGTATATATATATATATATATATAATATGCGTATACGTATCCGTATATGTATATGTATGTATATGAATATACACTTATGTAAATTGAAATTTATATATACATATACATATATATATTTACAAGTATATACATGTATATATATATATATATATATTGGTGCGCGCGTGTGTGTGTGTTCCTGAGTTCTGTATGTAGAATTTCACAGGTTCTAACACAGTTTCAGCCTTTGAAAGGTAACAAATATTACTTATACATCGGATAACAGTTCAGTTGACTGAAAAATGTGCAAACATTTCTGCATATGTATGTATATTATATAAAGATATATATATATATATATATATATATATATCACCTTGTATGTGAGTATGTAGATCAGTGCGATCGTGAAGAATTCACACGTGTATACAAGTGCGCGGCGGTTTGTGTTTGACGAATATACTTGCAACAGTCCGCTTATTCGCACATATGCGTATAAGTTCTTTGAATTGGTGCGGTATGTCTGTATCTTTGCATTCGAGGACTTTTTTTTGTGTGTGTTTTGATGTGCGTGTATATTTGTGAGAACTGCTACCCCTACCCTGCCTTATATCCCGCTGGCAACAAACCGCTTTCACGGGGTCGAATGCATACATACTATGTAAGCGAATCTGAGCACAGCTGCAGTGTGTGGGATAACGCGATAGTTGAGCCGTCGCTACTCCCAGGCGTGCGTAAGTTTACGTTTTGGTCCATGCTCTATATAGGAGAATATTACATACCGATCGCTGGGTTTTGTTGTTGTGAGTGTATTTAACAATCCCGTGCCTTGGGAAATGATCGCATTGGAACGACGAACCCGATCTCTCTGTGTGTTGTTATGTGTCTGGTTGCGCTTGGTGGCTGCAACAACGAGGGGGTTTTAGATAAAACCCTAGAACCCTGTAACAACGAGAGGGGACATCTCAGGTAAACGAACGAGAATCAGTCGGTGTGAGTGGGGTTTGTTAAAGATCTGATCTCATCATTGCAAGCCCAGTCCAAGGCAGCTATATACTACCGCGGTATGTTTATGTGATCCCGTATCGTACACCTGCAGCATGTTTACCCCATGCTTTGGTGCGTATTCCTAACTATACCACTGTGCAGGTATAATTATGGCCAGCCTCAAGCCGTGGCTGCGCCAGCACCCACCCCCACACCCGCCGTCACACCCGCCGTCCCAGTCCAGACACCAGTCACACAACAACCCTACCAGCAAATGACCCAGCCTCAAACGCAGGCATACACCCAGACACAGCCACAGACCAGTGCATACGTACAACAGGCACAGGCCAATGCTTATGTCCCACCACAGTCACAAACCAACGAATACGTGCAACCACAGCCACAGACCAATGCATATACACAGCCACAGTCACAGACCAATGCATATACACAGCCACAGTCACAAACCAACGAATACGTGCAACCACAGTCACAGACCAATGCATATACACAGCCACAGTCACAGACCAATGCATATACACCGCCACAGTCACAGACCAATGCATATACACAGCCACAGTCACATATAAATACATATACACAGCCTCAGGCTCAGTCCAATGCATATACACAGCCTCAGGCTCAAGTCACTTCATATACACAGCCTCAGGCTCAAGTCACTTCATATACACAGCCTCAGACTCAAGTCACTTCATATACACAGCCTCAGACTCAAGTCACTTCATATACACAGCCACAGGACCAGTACAATGCATATACACAGCCTCAGACGCAGTCCATTGCATATACACAGCCACAGGCTCAGTCCAATACATATACACAGCCACAGGCTCAAGCCACTTCATATACGCAGGCTCAGGCCAACGGATACGTGCAACCGCAGTCACAGACCAATACATATACACAGCCTCAGCCTCAGGCCAATACATATATGCAGCCGCAAGCACATGCCAATACGTACGGCCAGGCACAAGTACCGCAAGCGCAACAGCAACCACAACCGCAACCACAAGCGAACACGCAGATGCATCCACAGCAAGGCATGGCACAACCCACCGACCCAGCTCAACAGCCTCAGCAACAGATGTACCCAATCCTGCCACAAATGGCCCAGCCACAGCCGCAGATGGCAGTGGCGGCGGCCACGCCCAACGTGCCTTACATGCAGTACAACACCACACAGACACCCATACCAACCCACAACCCCATGCAGCATCAGGCAAACGCCCAGCAGGCGACGGCACAGATGTCGCACATGGCTGCGCCTGTGCAACAGCAGCCGCACATACAGGCCATGCAGCCACAGGGTGTGCCTGGGCAGATGCCCACGGCCCACTATGGCATGGGCATGCCTGGGTACAACCCACAGCAATACCAACACCCGCACATGATAGTGGCACAGCAGCAGCAGGCGGCTGCGGCTATGGCAATGAAGACTGCTGGGGTCGCCGCTGGTGTGGGAGGGTTCAACAGGTAATGCTGTGTGACGGAGGATGTGCGAGGATGGGGTGATACATATATATATATATGTTTTTATGTATGTATGTAAATGTATGATTGAATTCATATATAGAGGTTATTTATTTATTTTAATGTACGGTGAGATCTGCTGGTGTGGCAGGATTCAACAGGTATCGATAAGTAAACGGTGAAAGTGATTTAGATTGGGTTTATAAATATCATGTATCCCGAAAGAGAGTTTCTGGTATTGGAGGGCTCCACTGGCAGTGCCACGAACGAAGGTTGGTAGTGAATGGCGTGATTTTGGCATAGAATATATATGTGTATGTGTATATATATATTTATTCATGATTATGGGAAAAGGGGCTGATCGGAAAGAATTCAACAGGTAGACTTTTGTCATTTATGTATATTTTAATGTCCAATCCCAAAATTAGATTTGCATCCACACAAAGGTACCTATCACAGAACCATCAATCTATAGCCTTATCATCCATCATCACCGTATATTTCTGTACACAGCTTCTCCGCAGCACAGCAGGCTCAAGCTAGGTCGAGAGGAGGCCCCGGCCAAGGCCCTTCTAATGGACGATTTGAGCCTTATGGTGGCAGAGGACGGGTAAGTGGGCAGTTCACACTAATTACTTCTCAACAACTACACGTTTTGTTTCGCTATAACTACACCCAGCACGTTAAAAATATCTCAACTCGGCGTTTTTCTATAGCCATACTCAGCGGTTCGCTATAATATCACACAGTATCCCACTTCATACGTATATATTCCTATATTCAAACACACACTTCTATTCATATCTTTCTCCTCGCCCGTCCATCCCCCCAGGGTGATCGTAACCATGGCCGCGGCCCGCGCGACGACCGAGACCGCTATCGACGGGACGATCGCGATCGGTTCAAAGGAAGAAACGAGCCCAGACGCTACGATGACAGGGACAGGAGGGATATCAACAGTCGGAGACCGGACCGAAATGGGCGGGATGAGTTTGGGCGTGATGTGTACTTCAAGGAGAGTATGGTAACTGACCCCTGGAAGGATTTCAATTAGTGGTTTCGGACGTTAAGTGGCGGAGGAGGGCTGGCGTGAGCTTTGTGTGTGATCGTGTCTTGGTATACTTAATCCGACAAACCGCTGAGATATATATATATGATATACAGTGATATATATTTGTATCTGTATGTATCTAGATATGTGTTATCAAGGGGTTTGATCAGTTTGGCGATGGCTGTATGCACAAGGGATGCATGCGTGCGCGATGGATTTGAGTGTCTGACGATAGTGTGCAACAAAGTGGAACTATATAACAGCTGTGTCTCGCCAGGTATATTACTTTACGCTCGAACGGGTATTAATGACTCGTGTAGTCGATGCATCTTCTGGTAAGTACAAAATGGGTTCAATCCACAGAATTGCGAGTATATACTGAGCGAAGTAAGGGCATTTCCGGCACAACAACGGTCCCCCTTCGGAACGATCCAGAGACGATCAATAAATGGTAATTTTGACAGTGTGATGTTGAGGCATGGTGCGCCCAGTATGCAAATGTCTTTTGTCTGTTTGGAGGTTGTGCTGGTGTTCTGCTCTTGCAAATCCTTACTTTACTTGGTCGAATTTCATGTCAGCTGCAAAAGTCATATATATATATAACGCTAAAGGTATTGTCACGCCCGATCAGTGTGGATTTCTATAAGCATGGACAGGATGTAGCAATTGAAGTTGCTCTCGCCACAAACTCGCTGAGAAGAAAAATTAGTTGCATGTATATTTCTATGGTTCAGGCATCTTCGCCGGATGTTAACCGGATGTATGGCTGGATCTCATACAGCGAGTGGTGTTTCCTGTCTTCCTTAGTTGAAGTGCTGGAACAGGAGCTTTCTTTATTCTTTATTCTTTTGTGCGTATCTAACGTAAGCAATACATGATGGAGTTTTGAAGAGAACTGGCCTGAGCAGCGAATTATGTGCGCCAGTGAGACTTGTTGATCATGCACATGGAGTATGTTCTCTGTGTACAAATACTTGCACGTAGTAGAATCTGTTTGTAATATATATATATATACATAAACATATATATTTCCAGTATGGTTGGGGGCTCAATCAAATATTGCTTCGTGTGTCTATAAACCGTATAGTCTACTGCGAGAAAGTGCAATATATGCATAGCCCACAGTCTTTGCTGCCATGGTAAGCATACTGGTAAGACAGTTAGGCAGCGCAACGGTGGGATTGCTTCCACCATGGCAACTGTCTTGTGTTGTTGTTGTTGTGGCAGTAGGTAAAGTGGGTTGTATGTTGGTAGTTATTGTTGTGGCAGTAGAGAAAGTGGGGTATGTGTTTGATGATCAAAGGTCTTTCGTGTTTAAGGTAGTGTTTTGACTCGTCAGGCTTCGCGTTTCGTACGCTACTAGTATAGCGTACTCATTTCAGAGCCAGGATGATTGCTTGCGTCATTTCTCCCGATTGTAATTATGTTACAACACTCCGTGAAACACGTTTAACGTATTGAGCGCGGTTCGTATCACTGACAACTGAACTAACATTCGGCATTTCTGCCCTACTGGAGCTAGTACGGAATGTTGTTGTTTGATGTACTTTTGTGTATAGAAAGATTAGCCTGGCTCAGAATAATCGTCTGTAAGTGTCCGTTGTCTTCAGTAAGCTTGCAACGATTGCACTGAACCAACAAGCCTGTTCTGAATATAAACGTATATGCCTTCCGGCCACTGATTTCGAACGCGATATATATATATATATATATATATATGGGTGTGTGTAAATAAAAATATATTACACTATATACTTGAGTAAGTACCAGGCGATAATTGGTTTGAGTTTGAGGTCTGTTTGAACAGTTCTGATATTAAACCCGGGATATCTCGCCCTGCTGTCTATGATGGTGTCGAGTGTCCACATTAACAACTTTTAAAGTAAAGGTTTGTTCACCGTATGTACTACTCATGCCGTGCGGTTAGATGCAGAGTGTGGTGGCGGGGGTGTATCTGCCTGTGCACTCGTTCTCAGTAAGATGGCGTGTGCGACCGCAGTCCAGGTTGAACTGACTCATCTCCGAGTGTATGTGTGAAAATTAGATCCACGGTGAATGTGTAGATGAATGTGTGTGAGAAAACAACAAATCGGGGATCTCCGAGCGCATCTGAGAGAAGCTCGTGTGTGGCAAATAAGTAGGTGAGTCTGTATGTGGGAAGATCACATCGGTCCACAGCGAGAGGGGGTGGGAGAAGATGGTATGTGCTGCATGGGCCGACATCGCCAGTGGGCTATGATGTCGACTTCAGCGGATGTGTATGTATGGCAACCGTGACAGCACTGTAAGAGAGTCCTACGTATACTTAAGAAAGTCCTATGTAGACTTTAGCGTGCAGTTGACTCTTCTGGTGTATCGTGATAAGCGAAAGGTGGCACAGGTTTTGGCCACCGCGTCACGCATTTGGTGTCATGACAGACACAAATAGGGCACAGACTTACCCAATTATAAGTCTAAGTATAAACCACAATAGTTGAAGAGACTCTTTGTTTAAAGCTACTTTGGGTATAGGCTGCACTTTTGTCCTGAGGCGACAGTTAACTGCAGTGCGGTACATAGGGCCAGCCTATAGGAAACAGTGGCGATATGCTCGTGGGTCGTAGTCCTACGAGTAGCACGCTGATGGAAAATCAAAAACTGGGGCACCTCTGTCTCAATACATAAGGATGCTATTTTTAAAATATTAATTCTATTTTAAAACTCAAAATAAATTAAATTTACGAAGACGGAAAAAAAATGCAATGTAACGTCTTCATTGTTCTGAAGCGAGATATATATGTTTACGGTCGGCCTCGACCATAGTGGTACACGTGCGCAGCCATTCTTGCGTTTTTTTCGTTCCATCAACAAGAATGTATAGTTCTGCTAGCCAGTACTCCAGAATTGAAGTATATCTATGAAGATATGTATTTATATGCGTTGTTATTTATGTTGCTAGTACTAATATATCACTGACGCCATATAAGTACTACAGTTCAAATTGTACCATATGTCTAACAAATCGCATGTATGATATCTAATAATGTCTGGTTTTTCAGAGGCAGGTAAGCATAAATTTATATACACACAAACACACCATGCGTTGCAACTGTACCCACGGGAATACTATATAGAATCAATAAACAACATAGCTCTCTGGATTGAGTCTCCGTGGAAAAGTTGCATCTCCCTGGAGACTCATTTTTCGAGATACTCCATCCAGAGGGCCATATAAACAACGGCCAGTTCCATATACACTTTATCCAGAATCATACATTATTGGAAATTATCGTGTTGAAACGAGAAAAAAATATCTCAAACTTAAAAAATATCACTCAGAAATAAGAGATAACAAAATTGACTGGTGCAGGAATCGAACCTACGCCGACATATGTCGATGGCAACTTGAGTGCCACGCCTTAACCGCTCGGCCAACCAGCTTTCTACTAAAAGTATAAATTAATTTTTCAACTATATCCAAGGGAAACAAAAGAGTGAATAAACAATATAGTTCTCTGGCTTGTCTCCGTGTGGAAAAGTTTTATCTCCTTGGAGACTCATTTTTCGAGACTCTATCCAGAGGGCCGTGTAAACAACGACCAATTTCATGTACAATTTATCCAGAAATATACATTATTGAAATTTGCTATATATAAAAACATATATAATGAATGGAGTAAAAAAAATAGACGCTCCACTATTCCTCCGTTACGATCTCAAAAATGACTGGTGCAGGAATCGAACCTACGCCGACATACGTCGATGGCAACTTGAGTGCCACGCCTTAACCGCTCGGCCAACCAGCTTACATCAACATAGAAATATAAATTAATAATACGTTCATCGCATTTTGGCTTTGAACCAAATCATAAAATGAAGGAATGCAAGTTGATGTTTTATTTTTTGTTTTAAAATGGTGGCTACCTACTTAAAAAAATTGTAATTGTTTGCCACAGGATACACCTTTAATGTTTTGTATTTCATTAAGTAGCTACCTCCATACAGACAGTCTTTGAGCATAATTACCACGGGATACTCGTTGATGTTTTGAAAAACTTTCAATCCTTGAGAGTGGTTGCCACTTGATGTTTTATATTCTATTTAGTGGTTACCTACTTACAATCATTGAGATTAGTTGCCACGGGATACACGTTGATGTTTTATATTTTATTTAGTGGTTACATACTTACAATCATTGAGATTAGTTTACACGGGATACACGTTGATGTTTTATATTTTATTTAGTGACTACCTACTTACAATCATTGAGATTCGTTATCACGGGATACACGTTGATGTTTTATATTTTATTTAGTGGTTACCTACTTACAATTATTGAGATTAGTTACCACGGTA